TCTCTGTCAAAAAATAAATAAAATCTTTAAATAAATAAATAAATAAATAAAATCTTATCATGTAGATGACAAAAACCACTATAAATAAAGTTAAACCAAAAACAACAGGGAAAATATTTATAACTTATATGTAGGTGAAAGCTTAATAACTATTATATAGGGATTTTTAAAATCAATCCAAAAAAATCAAATTTAAAATGGAACAGGAATTCGAACAGGCAAGTCTCAAAAGAAAAAATTCAAATTTATAACAGTCATGAAATTCAAATTCATGATAATACTAATGCCTAGTAGCAGTAGTCATTTAAAAAGTGGAAATTGAAACAATTCGGTTGTTTGGTTTTGGTTTTTTTTAACCTAACATATAGGAAAAGGTTTTTTATTTTTATTTTTTTTAAAGATTTATGTATTTTAGAGAAGGGGGGGCAAGAGCAGGGGAAGCGGCAGAGGGAGAGGGAGAGAGAATCCTCAAGCAGGCTCCCTGCTGAGCGCAGACCCTGACATGGGACTCGATCCTAGGACCCTGACATCATGACCTGAGCCAAAATCAAGTCAGACATTTAACCAAAGGAGCCACCCAGGCGCCCCAGGAAAGTTTTTTAAACGTAATCATATGAAGTATTGGCAAGGGCCTAGAGGAAAGACACATATAAACTCCTGGTTTGTGTGGGTTGCTACAATATTTGTGGAGGTTAGTCTGACTGAATGTATCCAAACATTAAATGTGGGTACACTTTGGCCCAGCATTTCAATTTCTAGGGATTTATCCAAAGAATATAATCAGACAAACTTAAGCTTCCAGTGCCTCAGTTTCCTTATCTATGAAATGGGGATAATATTGTTTTTCTATTAGGGCTTTTAACATTGAATAAAATAATTCACACAAAAGGTTTAGTAGTTTCTGGCACATAGAAAGTGCCCAATAAATGTTACTTCCAATGATGTTCATTGAACACTGTTATAATAGTAAAACTTGGCAGCCATAAATGTTCGTCATTTCAAAGATTGGTTGAACAAATTATTGCACATATAACACCATACCATACAACTGTTATGAAAGATGTCATTAAGATGGCCATGATATATATTGTATGTGAAAAAATGCAGGTTACACAATAGGATGTATTCTACTGTCTCACTTGTTAAAACAAAGGAAAACAACCTTCCGGATGAGGATCAGAGATAGGAGATGGTATTAGAGTGGACTTACTCTATATTCACTTACATATTGCTCTCATTTATCATAATGAACATTCCTAATTCATTATTATGAATATTTTCTAATCAGTAAAAAGGGTACATATTTCCATTCGTTTGGCCAGACAAAACCTCGAAACAAGAAAAGCATGAATTAATTTCCCACATTAACCTTGGCAAGAATGAACCTCTTAGAATGGTGCCCTGTGTGGATGAGAGCTGCTTCTCCCACAGGGGCTCCTGTCGGCGCAGGCCCATGCTTCACCTGTCTGCTTTTTACTCTAATTTTTTCAAGGTATTTCTTCAAAACCTGTACCTGTGGGAACCCAACTAACCCCATGCTTTTGTTGCACTCATCTTTTAGGAACGAGAACAAATAAGCTACCAGAGGGATTTCTTTAGAAAACAATTCCCTGGGGAGAACTCTGGTCTGGTAGATTCAGCCCTTACACTGTCTACGGTATTGTACAAAGGGAATCGAGGTTCTCGCTTAAGTCAAACTGAAGAAAGATCACATTATCTTAAAAGTGTTATGCTTAGGAGAAAGCTTTTCAGGAACAGACATTGAAATAGAGAGGGGTTTTGGCAAACCTGATAAATCCTACAAAAATGAGTTCCTCGGTAACAGGATCATATTTTGTACCTTTATAACTCCCTTGGTACCTTGTACCCTGAACTTACTTGCTTTTAGTTTGCTGGGGAATTTTCATTCTCAAGAAAAACTGTATTCCTGAAGCTTTCTTGTTAATTTAAACTTGATTGTTCTTTAAAATATTTTGTACATAATTCATCTTATGTTGGGTTCATTTCACTTCACTGGCTAAAGCTTCCCAGAACGGAAAGTATGTCAAATACCTACTATACACACTTATATTTTCAATTATTTTCTTTTAATTCTTCATAAATGTGCCAAACAGACATTGGTTGGGGGAAAAACATTTTTTACTTGAAACTAGCTAATGACATTAATGATATCCTTTGCGATAACGGGAGATGCTCTACGATTGTTAAAGAAGGCTATAAATCACCACTCTGAGGGAGATGTATCTATGTTAGTGCTCTAATTATAAATGGGGAACAAAACCCCATTAAGTGGCAGTGTCACTGACTTATCCCAATAAAACACCCTACCTCGAGGAAAAGTATAAACATCCTTAGCATCCTCCTGGTGTGCTTGGGGCCCACCTGTTTCTTGGTATGGTTCTGGAAAGCATTCTTCAGGCAGATCCTTATTTTTATATGCCTTAGTAGAAAGATCTTCAGGCCCAGGTGTTTCTTGGTATATTTCAGGTGAACAATCCTCAGGCCCAGGTGTTTCTTGGTATATTTCAGGTGAACAATCCTCAGG